GAGCATTGGAAACTCGGGCAGGCCGAGAAGCTGGGAGCTCAACAAAGCGTCGTGTAACTTTCGTTATATTGTGAACAATCGAGATAGGATAAATTGGTAGAGCTAGGCAGCATGAAGCAGGCTACATGATTTGGTGGTGAAAAGGTACGAAAACAGAAGTTTGAGGTTAATTTCAAACATATAGGCACAGAAAGCTGTTTTAAACAAATTGAAAGACAAAATAAGAAACAGCTACAAAATAAGACATTTAAGTGGCTACCCTTAACAGATAAAACTTGATTATTGCGGTAAAGCTTATTAAAAGTAAGAATAAATGTGTTTGTTACGGTTATTCAGAGCAATTCTCGTTCTTATGAATTCACGGCAGACAGAAAAGAGGCATTGGATATAGGTGCTATGTTATAGTGAGCTTCTGGTCACGTCTGCGCATTGGACAACAAAGAGAATATTCAGGACCTGAGATAAGACACAGTTGGAGAAAAACCTTCACCTAGTAAATGTCATCCAGCTATAATGGAAAACATAGCACTGCAAAGGCAGATAAAAAGTGCTATATATAGTTAATGAAATCTTGCACTATTCACTTTAAGAGTAAATTCCGCGGTGTGATACGTTCCACTTTATTGCTTCATCCAATCGTATATGCGGAAATTTTCGGGAGAAAACACACAAAAATTGGCTAATCCGATAGAAAATGCGTATAAAATGCCCATCTAAATTTTTCCTGGTTACGAGATTCGTACGCAATAATAAAAGAAATTACAACACTAACCATTGTGATAATCGACTTCCTCGCCAATGTTTTGCCCCATCAATTTCTGACGTTGTATCACACCCACCAGGGCATCAAGGCCTTTGTCCTGTTCTGTAAATATACAAACAAAGCTAATAGCATGTATACATCGATTTGAAGGTATGACGCGCGGATTTTCGATTCATTGGAAGCTTTCTGTTTTTTACATTACTTTGGTTTTTACTGTACATAAATACAGCACCTATAAGAGGCAGAATAGGCACTGACGTTTGAGCTTCCGTCAGATTCGAAGTGAAAATATAATCGTAAATCTCAAAAATTAACAAGTAAACGCGCCAAAAAATCCTTTTGAGTGAGAATCTCGACTACAAAAAGCACCTTTTATGGTTGGACGCTTCTTACATGTAGTGGATACTGCTTTCTTGCTGTATTAAAAAGCTGCTAGGGGAATTTAAGCCACAAATTAAAATTATCAATGTACAGGTACACAGCTATGTAGCAATGAAATGACAATGGGGAAGAAGCAACGACAAAGGAAATATTATTCGTAAAACGGGAAGAACGAATCGCTCAGTTTTATGATCACGCCTTTGTCATTACAAATTAAAATACAATTACCCTATGTAAGAACAAGATTAGAACGGAAGCAAATCTTGATAGAAATGTTATGAGCATTTCAAAACAATAGAAACCTAGATGAGTCTCACAGTTACAGCTATGAAACCCTCTCCGGCAAGTTTATATTGGGAAATCTCCTGGCGTTGAAAATTAAATATAGAGACCTAATGCTAAAGTAATGACATCATATTTAAAGACTCATTGCTAACAATGAGCCATTGCGCTACGCAAGCATCCCATAATGCATTTTTAGACAGTCTGAAATCAATTTTGGTTAATCCGTAGAAGTTTACTGCCACTGTTTAGATCGTCGCCACGCTCGCAAAGGGCCATTGTTAGCAATGAGTCTTTAAGAAACTACTAAGAAACAACGAGTAAATTTGCCAACGGGAGCTACCCAACGTCCACTTATAAAAATGAGTCAATGTCTTTGCTACAATTTGATAAGATTGTAATAATTGCATTCTGACTTGCACTGTGCTGGGAAACGTCCATGTGATGAATGATAGGGACACCGTAAAAATAAATGTTATATGGGAGTAGATGAAATCAAATCAAATGCTTTTTGATGTCATATAAATATCCGGGATGACCTACTCAAGCGTCGGCCACTAAACATCCCACCGGATCAAGCCGTTCAAGAGAAGTTTGGGTACCAGGGAATTTTTAAATGCCGCGCGTTTAAACAATGCCTAGACGAAATGAAAACGGTAGGGTATTTTCTACCTATAACTTACAATGTATTTGTGAACGGGGTCTTGGCCTCGAAATAGGTTTTCAAAATGAGAAAATAACACGCTTTTGACACGAATTTCGTGCGTAATGTGATCACCAGCACAACAGACGTTCAAAAAATAAGTTTAAGTGTGAAATCCTGAGTATCAGCCTAAACTTATAATTGTTCTATTTTATACACCAAAGCGCGTACAGCTCTGTCCACAGGGCATCAAGCATTCTACAACAGACCGGTTAACAGCAATATACTAACATTTACATGTGGCGAGTTCTGAAAAGCCTCACCATGCTTCGGTCAATGACTGCGACCGAACATCGTGTACCGAAAAACAAACACCCGGCCAGATTGCTTCAAATCCTTAATATCTCCTTACCCACTTCATTAAAACTAGCTTACGCATTTCTAAAAATAACTTTCTACCATTCAATATCAATTACAGTTTCAAGTTGAAAGACCGATTATCTTCATGAAAGGGATAAACTAACAGCGCATGTTCTTTGAATTGGTTTACAGGCCTAAAAATTGATACGAGACTAGGTAATCCATGTCTAAATGTTATTGTTAATAGTTTCTTAGTAATGCACATGTATGTTCGAATGGAATGTCACGGGTACATAGTAACTGAATTTGCAATAGGGAATCAAAGTTCAATTGCATTTCCTTTGAGTTCAGAAAACGAGAGTGATCAATTATTTATTTTTATACGTATCAAATTTGAATAGTCTGTTGATCTGGGTAAGACAGCCATCATAAGCGATTTTGTTTAGATAAGTCCCGTCTTTTGCCAAACTTTCAGCTTTTCGTTGCTTTGATGGACAATATTTTTCATAATTTCATAGACTTGTGTTTGAATATATGAATGTTTTTGAAGCGATGAAATAATTTGTTCCAACAATTTTAACCAACATTGTTAAATTGCTTGGCCATCTTACACGTCTAACACTGTAAAATGAATGTTGGACGAAATGTTGAAGCATATGGGCGAAGCTCAAGCCATTTCGGCAATATGCCTTCTTGCTTTTAACACAAACAGCGAAAGGAATTCTCCTAAAGTCAAACGTATTTGGATTGGCACAATACAAGATATAAAGGACAGCCTAGTGGTCCGGAACTTCTAAAACTTTAACTAAACATTAGCAGCCCTAAAACAAACTATGAGGTAAAATTTACCAATACTGTTTGCAGAAGGAGTGGAGCACATGATAAATACTTAGATAATTAGGTCACTGTATCAATATAGATAAAGTGTCAAAATATATAGTATAAGGATTTGGATATAGTTTAAAAATAAAATGTAATGGAAAGATAAAGGCTTAGATATAGTGTAAGGATATAAAGAAAAAAGTTTTGATATAGTAAAAGTATATAATGTAAAAGCTTGAGTGTTTTCAAAAATGAAATGTAAAGATAAAGGTTAAAGGTTCCGATATAACGTAAAGATATAAAAGACTAAGATATAATGTAAAGACATGTAAAGACAGTGTAAAGACTTGACTATAGTTGAACGATAAAGTAAAAGATATTGGATAACGGCTTAGACACAATGTATAGATATAGTTTAAGGGTATAGTACAAAGGCTTAGATATAATGTAAGACGAAGTGTAAAGGCTTGATGTATTGTAAAAAATATTGTAAAGCCTTGGGTATAATATAGTTTATAAAGAAAAACGATAGAGGTAAAACAAAAGATATAGTGCAAAGGCTTAGATGTTATGTGAATAAAAATGCATAAATTAAAATGGTAAAGGTTTCAAGCTTAACGCAAAGATGTTTTGCAAAGACTTGTAAAAAAATATAACTAAGATAGTCTAACTAAAACCCCGAATTTCGAACTATTCTTCAAACGCTCAAACAATGGGTTCTATTGACAAGCTGGGAACGATTGAAATCAAGGCAAAAAAATCGTCACTTTGTCTCTGTAGAACACGAACGTTGGCGAAGGAAAAGTGGCTAGCAGACGCACAAAGATATGATAGAAATGTAAGAGCAACGGCTCATTCGCCTTGTCAAGGCTTGCTCTTGTCAGAGGTGGTCTTCTTTTAGACAACAGAGCCCGCTCAACCGAAAATTGGGATGCGAAAAGGGAGGTAAATCGAGGGGTTTTAGTTAGACTACCTTAGCCTGCGCGCAGACTCAACCGATTTTCCCAGAGATGAAATTAGTTAAATGGAAATTTGGAGTTTCTCTCCGAGTAGTTTGAGTTTTTCTTCTGGGAGAGAAACGCTAAATTTTCCTTTCAACCAAATTAATCTCTGAGAAAACCAGTAGAGTCTACGCGCAGGCTAGACTATCTTAGTTCTATCATTTTATCTTGGTGTAAGATGACGTGTAAAAAAGGTTGGAAGGTATAAAATTGAGTCACATTACGAAATATACCTTTGAGAAGCTGCTTTTGTTTGTTGCGTATTTCATCAGTATTAATTTCTGCTGAGGCAGCACCTCCTCGAGCCGATGAGAACGGATCATAATCGCTGCTGCCAAATCCAACATTGAGTAAACCGGACCTAAACACAACAACGGGAAAGAAACAAATTAATATGTCATACCGCAAAGCTTGCATTGGAAATGCTGTCATGGAGCTAACCCCTTCTAATATCGTCTTATCGCAACTACTTTGACCTCAATATTCAAGTCAAATCGATTTCTCTCTCTCTCTCTCTCTCTCTCTCTCTCTCTCTTTCTCTCACTCTCTCACTCTCTCACTCTCTCACTCTCTCACTCTCTCACTCTCTCACTCTCACTCTCTCACTCTCTCACTCTCTCACTCTCTCTCTC